GGGGGCCTGGGCCCCTGGGTGCATGGGTGCCCGCGAGCATGCGGGTGGGGGCACGCCAGCCACCTGGTTTGGGGCGGCTGGGCCTGGAGCGCGCACCTTCTCCGGGTGCCTCTAGGGAAGTGCAGGCAGGCCCTCGAGCGGGTGGGTCCTTGGGCCTCTAACCCAGGGTCGCCCGGGAACCCTTTCCTGGCACAGCTTTTCCCCTGGGCAGCTCGGTCATGAAGGCTGCTCTCTGTGATGGACAGGCTTTGTCCCCGCCAGACACTCCCTCTCGGGGGTGTTCCTGCGGCAGTGCCCAGCTGGCCTCCAGCCTTCCTCAGGCGTGTGCTGCTGGGTGAAGGTTGCCACACCCCATTCTGCAATGAGGGATTTCTGAGGTGGTTGCCGTAGCCGGTGCCTGGGGGCTAAGGCCCATGTTTAACAGTTTTCCCTTCTGACCACTTACGTTTGCCTTTCCTGTTGTTGCTGGAAGCAGAAGGGGGGCTTTGTGTGGATACGCCAAGCATGGTCGAGATGGGGCCTGCCTCGGTCGTTCCCCTTGGCACACACCAGGAGGCCTGGCTCCTGTGCTGCGGCCACATAGCAAGAGTTGGAATCTCTGACCAAGAGACCCAGCCGTCTCTTTGGTCAGGTCAGCCTGGAGTTTCTGCAGACCCCGGAGCTTTTACTGAGTGACATTGGTTGATGCTGCGCGGGAACCTGGCTGCTCCTCCGAGCAGAACCGCAGCAGCAGGAACTCCTGCACTGGCCACGAGCATTGGCCACTGACAGCGTTGGCATCAGTTGGAGCAGGAGAGAGAACATTAGTGTCATCCACTGAGCACCAGGGGTCTTGGCTACCTCTATGTTCCTGTCCTTTATCTTGTCCCAAAACATCTTCCCAGGGACCTTTAGGGTGAAACCAGAGCCTTCTCCATGGTTTTTAAGGCAGACAGGCATGCCATTCTGGGCGTTTAGAATGCTGACTGCGAACCTGTGTGTACGTCGTACACGAGTGCCTGCCTGTGTGTGCATATCCTCCCAAGTTAGGTTCGAAGTAGACTGGGAAACAGTATGGCGATGGAAGCGCTGGGGACACTGGTGCTGGCCGGGTCCTAGGATGGCACGAAGGTGGGAGCGATTGCTCAGAGGCCCCCGCCAGAGCCAGTCCCCATGGCACCGTGAGCAAAGCCACTCCTGTTGGAAGGGGGAGGAAGTTATTCACAGTCGTTCCAGACACCACATTTAGTCTCCACAAAACCCTGCAAGGTGGGACTTACTCCTTTACCCTGCTTTTCAGATTGGGGAAACTGAGGCTCAAAGAGGTTAGGCGTCCACCTGAAGGAAGAAGAAGAGCCAGGGTGGGAAGCAGGCGTCTTGCTCCCTGCTCACCCCAGGCTGGCTGCACAGGGGTCAGCTCCCATCACTCCCTGCGAGGCCCCTTTCTTTGCGATGGAGGGTGTGGGACACCTCCTTTCCTTGGAGGTGACCTGGTTATTTGCCTCAGAGCCCTTCCTTCTGTTAGGGCTGGGAAGGCCAGGTGGTAGGAGGAATTCGCTGTCGGAGTTCAGCTCTGGGTTCTTGGACATTTCTGAGCTGTTCCAGGTCTCAGCTTTGTCACCTGCCACTTGTGGAGTGGATGAGGAAAGGAATCAACAGATGCATCACACCCCCACTCCTCTGGGTCTTTGTCATCACTGTTCTCTGGGTCACTGCTAGCCCTGGTCACTGGGTAGCCCCCTGGTGAGGCAGGCACAGGGGGCTCTTGTCACTGATGGCTTCTCATTGTGCCGGGTAGGGTATGATGGCACCCCAGCCTCATTCCTCCCTCTTCCTCGGGGGGCCAGGGCCTGGCTTGGTTCTTTAAGGCCTTGCTCCCTAGGAGGGTCCAGGGTAGTGGAGCTCAGCCAGAGGCTGGGTAGGCTGTCCAGATGGGGCCTTCTTGGTGTCCTTGGACCTTCAGCTGGGTGGTTGTCTGCCCACCTACCACAGCCTTCGTAGCCAGCAGTGCACTTCCTGTCCTCCCTCTTGGGTGAGTCACTGAACCTTCTGAGCTTTGGCCTTCTTGTCTGTGGAATGGGAATGATGATGTATCTTATGAAGTTGCTCTGACCACTAACAGACAGTGCTGGAAAGGATGTGGTGCATCCTGGCGCCTGGGGGGTGATTTGGTGCTAGGAGCTATCATCATCATCATCATCATCATCATCATCATCATCACTGTGATTGTTACTGCTTTGTTGCCCTTTTCTGTTTCTATGTCCATCATCACATCCTTGAGGGCAGGGCCTGGGTCACGGCCTCTCTTGGCTGCTCATCCTTTTCATGATCCTCCCAGGGACCACGCTGGTGTTGGCCCCAAGGAGCAGCCAGAATGGGCCACTCCTGCCCAGGCTAGGGCTGGTCTGGACCTGCTCTGTCTAGTGCAGTCGTCACTGATCACCTGTGGCCCGTGCCTACTGTGTTGGACAGTGCAGGGTAGAATCTTTCATCGCAGGAAGCTGTGCTGAGCTGGACTCCACAGCCAACCTGGAGCTCTCAGGGCACCGCAGCCTCGAAACATCCTCACCGGTGGCTCGAACAGCCACCAGCCACCTGCTGAGCATGGACAGCAAGAAGTTTGTAATTACACAGAAACTGAGTTCCTGCGGGCCTCCCCGCATTCCCTGCCAGGTGGCCTTGCTCACCTGGCTAGGGTGGTTAGTGTTTTGGCAGTTCTTACCAGCCCAGCGGTGGGAGGGCAGGACTGGGGTTGCCCAAACTGTCCCTGTTGCCGGCTGTCCTTGTCCTGTTTCTCCAGCTCATCTTGTCAGGCAGGGAGTCCCAGAGTGATGTTCCTAATTCACAGCTTTGCAAAGGCTAGGCTGGCCCAGATGCCTGACCTCACTGCTTGGGCCCTGCCTTGCCCATGCCTGCTGCCCCCGCCCCATTCCTTACCCACGGGCCCTTTCCCTCTCCCCCCTGGCATGCCTGGGCCTCCAGGAAGCCCTTTCTGACCCATCACACAAGTTCGCTCTCTTGCTTGGCAAGGCCCTCCCTCAGACCTTGTTTCTGGTGCTCAGCACTTTCCTCCCTGGTTTGCTCTGGTGCTCACTCCTCTTGGCCGGGCATACAGCACACGTTCCCTCAGCGTCAGCTGCACGTCAGGTCAGTGCCTCAGGTCAGTGCCGCGTGCTGGCCACACAGGACAGCAGCCCCGGCTGCTTCCATAGCTTCAGGCTGGTCGGAAGCCCACACTTGGCCAGACTCTTCCATCCAGGCAGACCTGGTGCCAGCCCAGCTCAGGGGAGCTTCCCCGCAGGATGATGAGGTGAAGGCCGGTGCAGATGGGTCAGTGGGCCGTCCGTCCCGAGGGGTCTGTGCAGCTGGAGGAAGGGCCAGGAACGGCAGGGAGGGAGGGGGCAGGAAGGGTGCAGGCCCCCTTTGCAAGAAGGAGTGTAAACTTTATGGAGGGTGTGTCTGATTGGTGGTTTGGGACCCATTCCCAGGGCATAGCTGGATCTAAATGAGTCAGAGCCTGCAATGCAATAAGCTCTCAGGAGCTGGCTGAGGAATGAACAAAGCTGAGTGAGTGCTGCGTGTGAGGGCTGGTGTGGGGCCTCTTCTTGCCCCTGGAGCCAAAGTGGGGGTCAGGACACGCTGCCCCTTCACAGCTAAAGACTGAGTTCCAGGGATGTGGCAGCTCCGCCAGGCTGGGCCAGAGAGAGCAGGGTCGGCCAAGGGAGAGCCAGGCAGTTCTCACTGTGTCCGCGTTCTGCTTATCCATCCCACACACCTCTGGGCCCCACTGTGTCCCAAGGAGTCCCCAGTTCAGAGCCCGATGGGTACTGACAGGCCTGGGAGGAGCCAGGTTGGTATTTGTCAGTCGAGCTTTACTGGTTATGAAAATGCTGCAATGCTAATGTGCTGATTGACTAAGAGCTGTTGTCTCAAAGCCCCAACCAAAGGCCCTGCTTGGCCTCTTCCCCAGCTCCCTCCATCCAGGACCCAGCAGTAGCGCCTGTCCTGGCCTGGTGTGTTTCTGGCTGTTTGCTATTTGTAGTGCTGTTCCTGGACCATGTGATGCCCTGGACTTCCGGGGCCTGGTGTCCTGTCACTGCTGTGCTTATTTCTCTGATGCATGAGGCGGGTGGGACTCAGCGGCCAGGCCTGGCCCCTGTGAGCCCACAGCGGAGTCTCCAGGAGCCCTGCCACTCACCAGCTCCTTCTCTCTCTCCGCAGGCAGCCATGAGCGCCAGCCACCCTGAGCCCGGTGCCCGGGCACGGAGCCCCCAACCAAGATCCCTGTCCCGGAGCTCGTCCAGCCTGCTGGGTGACGGCCGGGGACAGAGGCCAGAGCTCCGAAAGAGTGCCAGCAGCACTGTCTGGCAGGCCCAGCGGGGCGCCAGCACCAGTCCCCAGGTCCAGGAGGAAGAGGGGCACCCAGCTGAGAGCACAGAGCAGGCACAGGGCCCCGGCCCTGGGCCACAGCCTGGTGTCACAGGCCACTGGCGGAGCAGCACGGTGGGCAACATGTCTACTGTGGATGGTGGTGACCTGTGTCGCCTGAGGGTCCCCAGCGCCGCTGCCGTGCAGAGGAGCCACTCAGATCTGGTCCGCCCACAGACCCGGGGCCACAGTGGGGCTCGGAGGGCCAGCCTCAGCTGCTCAGCCCTGGGCAGCTCGCCGGTCCACAGGGCACGGCTGCAGCCTGGCGGCACTTCTGGCCAGGGAGGGCAGGCCCCTGCAGGCCCGGGGAGGGACCTGGCTCCAGAGGATGGGACGTCAAGCTCCGCCTGGACCCTGGGAGAGAGTCAGGTGTGGGTGTCGCCAGTCGACCTGGGAGGCACACCCACCCACAGCAGCAGCCCCGAGGCCAGGCCCAAAGCCACTGGGCAGTCAGCCGCCACCTCCTGCCATGCTCTGCCCCCAGCAGCTCTACTCTGTGACATGAGGGAGGAGGGCGCCCGAGGCTCCTGCCATGCTCTGCCTGCCCCGGGGATCCTGGCCTTTCCCAAACTAGTAGCATCAGTGAGTGAGTCTGGGCTGCAGGCTCAGCGTGGCGTGAAGTTCCAGTGTGGGTTACCCGGGGGGCATCCTGGGCATTCCCCCTGCTGTGCCCATCCTTGGGGTCCCACTGGCTCAGCTATGGAGCCTGGCGCGAGGACCAAAGATGTGTGGACCATGACCTCAGCCAGTGACTTGGCCCCAGTGCTGGTGTCCCCTCTGTCAGCCCAGGATGCTGGTGTGCAGGTGGCCCCCATGGCAGTGTGCAAGGCTGTGGCCACCAGCCCGCCCCTGGAAGTCCCGGTGGCCCTGCACCCATTCCCGGAGGTAACTCTGGGGTCCAGGCTGGAGGAGGCGCCGTCCCCGGTGCGGGATGTGAGGTGGGATGCTGAAGGCATGACGTGGGAGGTGTACGGAGCTGCAGTGGACCCTGAGGTGCTTGGTGTGGCCATTCAGAAGCACCTGGAGATGCAGTTTGAGCAGCTGCAGCTGGCACCTGCCAGTGAGGACAGCCTGTCCTCAGAGGGCCGGAGGGGGCCGCTGCGGGCTGTCATGCAGTCGCTGAGGCGCCCCAGCTGCTGCGGCTGCCCCAGCACAGCCCCAGAGTGAGGAGTTGTGGCCCCAAGGGCTGCCCTGCCCCCTGGACTCAGCCCCCCCTACCAGGGACAGTGGGGGCCCCATGCCCTTTGGACCCACTGGCAGCTGTGGACATGTCTGTGCTGTCAGCTGCCAGCAGACGTAGGACTTCAGCCTGGGGACTTGCTAGGGGCAGCTGGACTGGTTTTTAAGGGCTTGATTCCCACGGACCACATCTGCATATTGGGCGCTGAACTTTGGGGTAGTTTCAGCACCGTGTACAAGGGAGGGCCTGATTTTTCTGTAAAAATCATCTCTGTCCAGTCTCTTCAGACTCTGCTGTGACTTCCCCTAGAGTCGTGGTGGCTTTACTTGAAAGCAGAGCTGAGACGAGGAGTCCTTGACATGAAGCGAGGCCCAGGTGACGGGTCAGCTGGGTCTTTAGAGACGGGACCTGACGCTGCCAAAGGCTTCCTGTCTGCCACGCCGTTCGGCACCTGGCCTTGCTGAGCCTTCACGCATGGATGAAAGTGCAGACGTGTGGCCGGGCTGTGGCTGACGTCCTCGGGTTGGACGACGGAGCAGAGGCTGAGGTTCAAAGCAGGGCTGGCTGAGGCCTGGGGTCTTCCTGCAGCTCGCCAGCCAGCCAGCCAGCGAGGCGGTTGTGCACGAGTCCCTCGAGGCCATATTCTGTGCCATGTCTGGGTTCCCTGGGAAGAGACAGGCTGCACGTGCCCTCGCTGCGCTCACGTGTGGAAGGGGCTCACCTCGGCACCAGGGAGCTGAGCTGTAAGAAAGGCCGCAGGTGTGTCTGAGCGTGGCTCCGTCTGTCACTGTGTCCGGGGTGGCCTCGGGAGTGGGAAAACAGGTGGCCCCTGTCCCCAAATATGTCACAGTCCTGAACTTGCACCATTATTACCTCATTTCTTTGGTTTAAGGATTTATTTTCAGCTGGTGCAATTACTCAACGAAGGGAGGGCAAGGATGGTGGGTAGAGGAGCCTGTGGTGGGGTCTCCCACTGGTGGGAAATGGCAGGGACTGTGAGGCTGTGGGCCTATTTGCCCCGGTCCTGCACACCTGACCTGACATGGGCCAGGGCTCATGAGGGCCAGGGGATCATGGGAGTGGGGGAGCCCAGGTCACCAGGGCTCGACACAGAATGACTTGACTGCCCAAGGACCTCTCCAGGCCCACGGAGGATGGAGTGGGCTTACAGTTGAAAATCCAAGCTCCCGAGACAGAACCTGCCAGCCCACCTTTGAGGAGCCAGGTTAGTGTCTGCTGAGGGCCAGGGGCACGGGAGGGTGGAGTCAGGGCCCACATACAGCCCGGCCATGATGTGGCCCTTTCCTGGCCGCCTTCTGCACCTGGGAACCCAGGCCCTGACAGCAGGCTTCCCCCTCCCCCCAGGGACTCACTGAGGTGGAAATGATTCAGGCAACAATGGGATCATTTTAGAGCAGGAGTGACATGCTACCACCAAGGAGGAGGTGAGAAGGGCACACGTCTGGTCAGAATGCCTGCCAAAGCCCCTCAGCGGGCTTTACCCCAGAACCATGCCATTCTCACTTCTAGCTGGGCTGGTAAAAGGTCACCCCTGCTTAAAAATGACAGCCAATCAGAATCACTACTGCCAGTGAGGCGGGGCAGAGGGTTGGCCTCACCTGCCTTTTAAAATGGGGTCAAGCAGGTTTTCCTGTAGTCCTGAGGTGCTGGGCTCTGTCCGCTGCAGCTGGGGCTGTCCTCTGTGTGTGGTGTGGGAGGGCACTTCATGGCCAGCCCTGCTCAGGGGCTCCCGGAGCCCAGTCACCGGTGGGGCCAGACTGGAGAGAGCAAATGGCTGTGGGACCTGAGGGGGATGGTGAGGAACGGGATTGGGGAGGGCACCCCCACAGGCCACAGCTGAGCAGGGTCTTCAGGACACAGCTGGTCTGGACATGTGGGCGGAGGGGGGTGTACCCGGCAGAGAGCAGCCTACGCGGGGCTGGGAGGTGCCTGTGGTCACTCTGCTTGGCTGCTGTGTGCCAATCTGTGCCACCTCCAGGCTGCACCTGGTTGGCCAGGATGGCAGGCTGGGCCTGGCCCCGCTTGGGAAAGGATAGTGAAGCCACCTCCCACCTCATCTTGACTGAGATACGTCTTTGCAGGTGGCGCCCCTGGAGCCCCACCCTGGTTAGCTTGCTGCCCTGAGACAACAGGATGGGCCTTGGGCTTCACTAGCCAGGCTGCACAGCCTCAGCCCACTGGATGGACCGCAGCTGGATCTGAATTTGCCCTGGAGACACAGACCACCCTGCCTCCCACCTTGTCCCTCGTGGGGCAGTCTGGCAGTTGTTCAGGCTCTCAGGACTGGCCACCAGCTTAGTTTACAGGTCTCCTCTCAGACCCCAGATTTCTGATCAGACTTTCTGGGTTCCCTTCAGGCTCTGCTCTGGGAGGTGGTGGATCTCATTATTTGTACATTTCTTTTGAATTTGAAATAAAGTATTGGAGGTCGGAGCTTTGCCAGGGAAGGGTTGTTGAAGGTTAGTCTTGTGTGTGTGTGTGTGTGCGTGTGTGTGTGTGAGTGTGTATGTTTCTGTGCATGTGTGTGTGTGTGAGTGTGTGTGTTTCTGTGTGTGTGTGTTTGTGTGTGTGTGTGTTCTTTTTTTTTTTCTCCTGGTAGATTGTGTCCTTTGGGGCCTTCATCCCAGATCACTAGCGCTCCCAGCCCAGGCAAAACCCCCTCTTGTAAGCCCCTGTCCCTCCTACCTGGCAGCCTTACAGGCCCCCAGCGACTGAAGCCTGGTGTCCTGGCCAGGATGCAGGGAGGCATCTTTTGTCCAAGCCCCAGGCTGCTGTCCCCCTAGTTGGGAGTCACTAGGCCCCCTCAGGCGAAGCTATTCTCGCCAGAGTGTGAGATACTGCTGGCCTGAGGGCACAGAGCCGGGAGGCGGGAAAGCCAGGATGGCCTGGTCCCACAGTGACATCACCTTCCCTGCCATTGAGTCTATCCCTTGGAAGTGCTGGATTCGTATTCCATGGGCCAACAGACATGCCTCCCCAACGCAGGTCCTGACACGTAGGACGTGGGGGTGGGGCACACTGTAGTTTAGTGTAAAACCTGAGTTTGAATCCTGGATCTCACCTATAGCCATGTGCTCTTGGGCAAGTTACTAACTTCGCTGATCCTCAACTTCCTCATCTGTAAATGGGTATGATAATGGGGTCTCCTTCTCAGGCTGGCTGTGAAGATTAAATGGAATAACACCTCCCTCTCCCCGAAAAGTGTGCTGGTGGCATTGGGGTCCACTTCTATGGCCAAAGGCAGGGGCCAGCTCTTGCCTACACCCCGTCTCCTTGACCATTTCCTCATGAGGAGCCTCTTCCAGGTCCTTTGCCCTCTGCTCTGCACCCTGCTTGGGACGTGCGTGCTCTGGCCATTGCTCTCTGAAGCGAGCTCCCGGAGCCGTGCTGAGGACCATATCACTCATCACTGGGTTTATTAAGGAAGTGGGGGAGTGGAGCACAAGGTAGGGAAGGGACAGGAGCCAAGCCAAGGGTGTGATTTCAGGTAGATTCCCGCCTTGCCCAGGTCCAACTTCAGGGTAAGGCCATGGCAGGAGGGAGGACTCCGGGCACTTCTGGCTCGGCATGCAGCTGCAGCTCCAGGAGCCCGGGGCGGGTCTCTGCTGGGGGCTGTAGGGCCTGTCCCAGGGAAGGGTGCACAGAAGCCATGGGCGCCCGAGGGGTCCGGGGCACCCGGCCAACTGCTGCACTCATGCCCTGAGCAGCCTCCCACCCAGGAGGCTCCCGAGCGCGTGTGAGGCCCACAGTCCGCCAGCCCCTCTGCGAGGCGCTCTGAAGCAGCTCCCTGTGCTCACACCAGGGCCCAAGGTTCCTGCGTAGAGCTTGGCCCCTTGGTGTTAACTCCCTCCTTCCTCAGTTTTTCACCTGAAGCTAAGACTAGTCCTTCATCAGTCTGCATCCAACTTGTTAGGCAGCGCAGGGCCCGACGGAGCCTGAGGCTTGTCACTGGGTTGTCCTGAGGTCAGCACTGGTCCCCATGTCCCCGTGAATCCACACAGTCTCGTGGGCAAGGCGGGCAGCGGGGCCTGCCGCGGTCCGGGTCCCCGAAAGGCGGTTCTGGTGACCACGGCTTCCTTTCCGGAGCTCTTAGCTGCTTCTGCTTCACCAGCTGCTCAGGAAGCTTGAGATCAGTAGCCAGCGAAGATGTACAGACTCTACCGTCTTACTGTTTTGAAGACTGGGGGCCATCCCACCCCCAGCCCTGGCACCCCTCCTCTTGGGCACACTGTGGTCACTCGTGTCCCTGGAGGTGACAGTGAAGTGAGGACATGCCGCTGGCCACAGCCTGTCCCAGCGCCTCCTGGGGCAGCTCACCCCTTGGGTGGGAACCTTTGCGAAGCTGCTGGAGGGCCCTGGGAGGTCTTCCCCTCGGAAGAACCTGGGGCCAGTTCAGTTCTGTGATTGCAAAGCGATAATAAGCCAGGCAAAACATCTCAGAAAAGTCTAAGTTTATTTAAGAAAACGGAATCAAAACCAAGTGGCATTAGCTTATGGGATTAGGAATGTTCGGGGGGGGGGGTCGCCCTCTCTTGCTCCGAGTTGGGTGAACGGAGCCGTTGCTCCGTCTGCAGGGACTCCCCGTGACTCCTGCCTCATTTCTCTGCCTCCAAGTCCCAGATGGCTAGGCAAGGAGGCAGGTCTGAACCCTGAAGCCTGTGCTCCCAAGTGGTGTCCTAAAACCCACTTCCCATGACCCCCTTTGAAGGAGGGAATGTGGAGGGAGGCGGAGCTCAGGGTGGGCGTGTCCACGTTTGTGTGTGGCTTTTAGCAATGTCCTCACACAGTCTGGCCTGAACTTTTCATTTCCCAACATCTTCTCAGCACCCTATGGACATGGCCGAGGGAGTGCAGTGCCTCAGGGCGTTCAGCCAGCGGCAAGTGGAGAGGCTCTGCTGTCCTGTCCCCACTGCCCGTGGTGCCCTTCTCCCACGTCCTCTTTGCCCCTAGAAACCTTCTGTAACCCAAAGGTCCACCCGCCCTCGCCCTGCTCCTTCCCCTGCCCAGGGTCTGCCTTGGGCATCCTCCTCCAGCAGCAGTCTCTCCTGGGTCTTGCACTGCTCCCTGCGCCATCGCTGGGGCTGGCCCTGGGCATGCCTGGTTTTCACGAGTCCTTCTCCTCACCCGTCCTTTCTCTCTTTTGATGGAAATGGATACGTTTGAGCCCTTGAGCATCTCCCTCGAAGGAGGCTCCTTGGGACACCCTGGGGTTGTCATGTCCGGTTTCCCTCACTTTTGCCCACCCTGCGCGGACGGTTGTCAGCGGTACTGTGGTGGTGGTGGTGGTGGTGGGAAAGGCGGCATAGAGAGACTCCATCAGGCCGAGGCACTGCATCAGTCCTCAGTGCTGGTGACCCTTACAGAGCCTGGCTGGCACCCAGCGGACAAGTGGCTGGGGGATGCCTATCTGTTGGCTTTGGGTGGGCCATCTCCTCTCGGTTTCAAACTCTCCTTGCTGGGCTTGTGACTGGTGTGGCACTGCTGGGCTCAGTTAGGACTCTGCGTGCTGTCCCCTCTCTGTGCCTCTGTCCTGTGTGGGACTGCTCTGTGACCAGGAGCCAGGGGTGGGGTCAGGGGGATGAGACTGTTGTCTTTGCACCTGAGAAGGCCCGAGGAAGGCCCAGGTGGGGAGCCTCTGTTGGGGCTGGAATTTCCCGTGGCTCACTGAGCAACCAAGCTTGGGGTGCTAGGTCCCAGCTGGGGAGGAGGAATCACCCCCCGCCCGGGCCCACAGGGCTCCTCATCTTTAGCCTTCTGCTTCACCCACCCTCTAGTCACTGCTCATTTTTGTCAGTCAAGGGTCTGGCAAGGTGGTGACCACAGGCGCCATTTTTTTATGCAAGCTTCATGGCATCTGAGAGGAAGACTCTCTGGTTTGATTTTCTTTCCCTCAGAACTGGGGGGATTCAGGGAGAGGGGGCGGGGCTTCTTGTGAAGATTCCAACCCCTGAACTCTGTTCCCCCATGAATCCCCTGTTGCATCCCCTGGGCGTGGCCACTCCGCTGGGCGGGGGCGGGGATGGGAGCCAGGAAGCAGCCTCGCGTGGGCTCAGCAGGCTGGGCGCAGGGACACTGCCCGAGCCGAGCCGGCCTGAAGGGCAGGCCAGCCAGGAGGGAAATTGGATCCCGCCTTTATTCGAATTATCCATCTTTATCATTTATTTTTTGTTAATTTTGATTTTAAAATAGTGCACATTTATCTTAATACCTAGTCTTCTGCCGGCGCCTTACATTTTGCGCCCAGTCCCTGCCTGGCCGCCGCCTCTCCCGGGGCCTTAGGTCTCCCGGTACCTTCGGCTACGGAATTGGGGCCAGGAGCAGGGGCCTCCTTTTCTCCACCCCCCACACCCCGGCTGTGGCGGGTGCTGAGCGGCGCTGGGAGGGGGGCTCCTGGGGCTGGAGGGGAGGTGGGTTGCGATGTGGGTCCCAGGCGGCTGGGGGGTTCCTCCAGGGCTGGGGGGTCTGGC